CGCTGTAGGCCTATTATACATCCAGGCCAGACTGAACACGTATTACGCACGTGCATGACGTAACCGTTTTCACAAATTTGTGTTTTTTAAGTTTATACAGAGAAACTTGCACTTTGAAACACGGTTTCAATAGTTTGCATTTTCAGGCGGCCAAAACGCCGTTATCGTGTTAATAAACTGCCAAAAAAGTTTTCTGTTTTGAGTTGAAAACTGTTGTAAACGGCCGCCTGTGAGACAACATGATACGGAAGTTGCAACGAAGTTGTGATATTCTGTTTTATTAGACTCTGAGAATTGCACTTTATTAAATACTGTAATAAAACAGAGTATGATTCATAAATCTAAGCCTAAAAGTCTTTTTAACATTCACAAGGCATGTGAATGAATTATTTAAAATATTTACTTTTTTTCAAAATACATTTTTTATTGTTTTACATATTTATTGAACATTATATAAATTCTGAATGATTCTTAAGTGTTTTTTATTAGTGCTGTCAAAACGAATAGCCTAATCCCGATCAATCAAATCTGACATTTACACACACACACACACACACACACACACACACACACACACACACACACACACACACACACACACACACATATATCAATTTCAATAATAATTGTATAATTTAAAATATATATATATATATATATATATATATAGCCTATATCAATTTTAGCGATTGCGATTCATTGATTTGAGTTTTTAAACATATATTATAAATTTTTATACCTTATCAATTATTTCTTAATAAAACGTTTAATAAAACGTTTTTAATAAATTATTTTTCATTATTTTTTATTATTTTAATAATATAAATATATATATATATATATATATATATACTGTATATATATATATATATATATATATATATAAATTTTTTATTTTTAAATAGGCCTATATATATAAATTCTATACATTTCATAAATGAAGGCATTGTTAAATGTTAGCGCTTGAAATGTAGCTTATCACTAATTGCTGTTTTTAAGTTTGGTGAAATGTAATATAATTACAAAGTATTATGATTACATGTGAAAAAATATATGTCGACCGGGTCCGTGCTGTTATTATTCATCAGCTTCGCCTCCTCTGTGCCCCATCTTTTAATGTTCAGACGCACTCTCTCTGGGCAAACCACAGGCACTTAGGGAAAGCTGGCTGGAATGTGCTACAGGCCAATAGCAGCGAGACCTTCAGCTGAATCTTAAATGGCTCGGTCAGTGTGTGAAAGAAAGCTAATGGAATTACTCATTTAATGGAGCTGGTAGTAAAGCAATAGAAATTGTGCTGCTCAGTCCACATCGCCCAACACCATGAAGAGAAAGAGCGCAGTGAAGAAAATCGATCTCTCACGTTTTAGTCAAAAATGCCTGTATTCACACATTGTTAAAACTACAATAACATGTCAGCTGTGTCGGTACAAACATTAATTGAAGATAAGAATGAAGAGTTTAGCAACTGCATTACGCTCTGAGTCTGAAGTAAAAAAAGCGCTCAAAGGCCCCAGAGTCTTCAGTGACGTTCCTGTGTGATGATGATGATGACTGTAGCCGAAGAGGTGACTCATGACCAATCACACAATGACATTATTGTGCCCCTCGGCTAGTCTCTATTGAGATGCAAAGATGTAAAATTGCTATTTTTTGCTATTGCTAATTTTTCTCTTTTTATTGTCTTCTTGCTTGCTTCATTTCAGCTGAAGGACCAAGGATAGAGAGAAAGAGAGCGCAATAAGGAAAATTTACATTTGACTAAAGACAGTTTGCATTCAAATGTAAAACGTCTTTCAGATTCTGTCAAACCACATTACTCAGTCACTGGCTCGTGTGCAACTCATTTTCTGCTGTATCTATTGGACTTCAAACATGAATCAACTTCAGATTTAAACATGCCTACACTATTGCCTTACAATAGCTAAAAAGATTGTTGTGTGCATATATAACAAAAAAAACTACACTGACATGTGGTAACATCTACAGTTTTGTTGAAAGATTACTGATCAACTGAATTCAACCAACCTGTAAAAATAAGGTTTTACTGTCAGTAGATGTAACCTGATTTCTCCAGCAAGGTAAAATTACTTAATACGTTTTATACAATCTTTTATATATATATATTTAACATATTTACATCAAGGTGGAAAAGGACTTTCATCATATAAAACAAGAAAGATTATAAAAAGTAATTTTACCTTGCTGGAGAAATCAGGTTACATCTACTATTATAAACTGTAATATTGTGAAATGTCATTACAATTTTAAAATGTCTTTCTTCGTTTTAACATATTTTAAAATTTAATTTATACCTGTTATCAAATCTGAATTGTCAGCATCAGTACTCCAGTCTTACTTAATTTAATTGAAAATAATTGCGTTTAGTTGGGTCAACACAATTTAGTTTGTTTAGATCAAATGAATTTACACTACAAAATTAGAATTTATAGGTAGAATCAGGTAGAAATACCTTCATAAAGCAACAACTGAATATGTTTACTTTTTACAGTAGCATGCATCCTGTTTCTTTTTGAATAAATGTTGTCATGAACCCAACAGGGGACTTTTGATCCCTTAAAGCTCTTTGGTTTGACCCTCTTTGACCCTGAAACAGAAACTCAAGTGACTGTGATGATGCGCTGAACATACATTAGTGTGAACTCCGCAAACTCAACTTCAGAAATACCATATAATATTATATTTGATAAAACACATTGAAAGTGCCATTGGGAGAGATCGATGTATATTTATTACATTTGTTTAAACGGGACATGTCTGGTTTTTTAAATAATATTTTTATACATTTATATTGTTATTTTGTATTTTTTTATTATTTTGAATACATTGCAAATAAATCATATAGGCCTAACATGTTTAGGCCTACTGTTTAAAAGTTTGGTGTCAGTAAGATTTAAAAAGAAGAAAAAAAATAAATTAATAAATAAATTCAACAAGGATGCATTAACTTGATCAAGAGTTTAAACAGTAAAGACAGTGTTATATTCTGAGAGTAATTAGCAAATAAATGCTGTTTTTTACATTTTTTATTCATCAAAGAGTTCTGGAAAATGTATCATGGTTGCCACAACTGCAACTGTTTTCAAAATTGATAATAATAAGAATAAAAATGTTTATTGAGTGCCAGATCAGCATATGAGAATGATTTCTGAAGGATCATGTGACACTGAAGACTGGAGTAATGATGCTGAAAATTCAGATTTGATAACAGGAATAAATTAAATTTTAAAATATATTAAAACGAAGAAAGACATTTTAAAATTGTAATGACATTTCACAATATCACAGTTTATAATAGTAGGCTATGTACTGTATATTATCAAATATCAGGTAAAACTGAGGTAAAATTGTAAACAAAGCAATTCATTAAAATGTTTTACATTTTAAACAGCTTTGAACAACTTTAACCTGAACTGATTTAAAAAAAAAAATTATTATAGAGTTGTCCTTTTAGAGATCCAACAATTATCACACAGATGTAATTTGTAATAACTATTTCCTATATACTTTTAACATGCAGGGGAAAGATCCATCAGAGCATGCTGTGTAAGAGCAAGGAAGTGATGATTCATAGCTCTTTGGCAATGTATCACTTTAAAAAAAACATAAAGAAATGACAAACATGCAGCTTATTCTCTTCTTCTTAATGCTCGGAAACAACAGTCAGCTGAGTAACTAACAGCCACTATACTGTGGTCTCTAGACTAAGGCTTTCCTCGGAGGAGGAGAGTGAGTCCAGGATGTTCTTTTCACTTGTCATTTAGCCTCACAAATAGTTATATCAAGGTTAGAATGACCTTGTGAATGTCCCTCATGGCCATTTCAATTTACTCCAGGGCACAAGGGGGAGGAATTCATATTGTGCCTTTCCCCTATAGTTTCCAAGCAAGCCAAAGTTGGTGGCTGGTCATTTATAACTTTGACAGGGGGGGCATGACCACTGTCATCAGCAGTGGTGTACATTTAAAAAAAAATGTCACAAGTGAAAATGGGTCAAATTAGTTTCTAGGACCTATATGCGCTAAAGGAGTGAGTCAACAAAATTTAAATCCAGCAGAGGATATTACCACGAGTGCTTTGTGTTCACAATATCCTTTGTCAAGTTATCAATGCTGTCATCTCATCCGAACGGCCTCGTCCGTCACATGGCAGTGTGTCAGTAAAACAGCACGTTTACTAATGTTGGAGGGAAGGCAAATCATAAACATTACATTGGGTATTTACCATTTATCTTTTCTGACATTTATGTTTTGCCAAGGTTCTATGTGGGCAGAGCCTTATATGTTATTTGAATAAGATTTCTGCACCATTGCCTCTCCCATCACTGTGCTTGTGGCCACTCGAAAGATACATTGAAAATGTCACTGGAAGTGGAGGAGGTTTATAATCTGTAATAGCTTTAAAGAATTAAACATCTGGAGAGACATGTAAAGGATGTTTGGGGTGGCTTAAGCCAATTCGATTTACGAGAGGAGGTTTATATCGATAGCTGAAGTCATGTTGTTTGCCTTGGACTTAAATGTATTAGGCTCTTTAAGCCCGTTGAGGGTTGTAATTTTGAATCACTTGAACTGGTTTGCAGGTTATAGTTTTATCATTATTAATGCAGTGTGTCACGACTGCAGTATTAGAGGAACAAAGGCCTAGCTGTGCCCGATGCAAACGCATTATTGTATACGCACTGCATCTCTGATACCGGCACTGACATTCAACACACACATTGCTTTATAGCTTTATTATCTATGAGCACATATTTTAATTTTATGTCCATTTGCAAATTAAACATCTTTGACTTAAGAGAAGCGTCTTTATGTACCAAAGGAAGAAAAAAAAGAGCATAATAATCCTTTTAGCAAGTTCCTTTTGTAAGATTGCATTATACCAACTCATTTATGAATATGAATATATAATATAGATATAATTTATATTTTTGTTCATTACTTTCTTGAATTGTACATCTGAATGTGGTAATGTGTACATTTCCCTTGCAAGCTTTTTCCAACCCTTCCCAACTGCAATGATTCAAATACAGTGATTTTTTTTGTGATCTAGATTTATGTTTTTATTTCAAGGTATTTCCAGTCAGTCTATGTCATATAAGAAAACTCTGAAAACAAATAGATGTAAGAGAAATGATTTCACATTACATTTTTCTACATTAATAATCTGCTGGATATTGGTGTATCCGTGTGCTTACAATCCCACCAACAGCTCCTTGCTCAGAGAAAGGTGCCTTTCATCATATACAGTATAAAACAAAAGCATTTTTTGTTTAAGGGCTTTATTGTTTAATGCACGAACGCAGCTGGTCTGAAATTCTTGATCTAATCTGAGTCCATCCAGTGGTATATGCACATTGTGTTGTGGTGGAAGCAGATTAACTTCACAGATAAACAAATACACAAAGACAGAGCTCTAACTCTTCTTGTGCTGAAGTACTGTCCATTAATGCCGTTAGAACAGTCAAACAATCAATATCTGCATATTAGCCTCCATCACATAGCTTCATTCACTGTCTAATACATTTGCATTTCAAGATCTTCTTAAATGCGTTCTGGAAGTCTTTGTTAAAGTACGCATATATGATGGGATTCAAAAGTGAGTTGGAGTATCCAAGCCAGTTAATGACTGCCCTCAGCCACTCGGGCATAAAACAATCTTGGCAGAAAGGCAAAACAAGCGCCACGATGAAGAAGGGCAGCCAGCAGAAAATGAACGTGCCCATAATGATTCCCAGAGTCTTGACCGTTTTGCGCTCTCTGGCCAAAGCCACTTTGCGCTTCGCTTCCGTGTTTTTCTCGTTTCTGTTCTCGAAGCACGGCTGAGGGTTGTTGGGCAAGCTCAGGTGGTTTTTGGAGACGGTTTGAACTTCTGTGATCTCGAACGACTCTCCGTCCTCCGCTTGTTTCAGCGCTCCGTTTACGCACGGTTGCGGCTCCACGCTTCGCCTCCAAGTTTTGCCCAGCTCGCCGTTCGCTTTCCTCGGGAACAGCGCCGGAGACACCGCGAGGCATTTGTCCGCGATTTTGGCTTTCTCGGGTTTCTTCACCGTTTTCCTTATACGAAACCTCGCCGCTTTGAATATCCGCCCGTAGAGGACCAGCATGAGGATGAGGGGGATGTAGAAAGCTCCAAAAGTTGAGTAGATGGTGTACCCGTGGTCTTGGCTGATTGTGCACGCGTCGGGGTCTGCCCGGTCCTCTGGTTTCCTCCAACCCAACATGGGCGGAATGGAAATGGAAAATCCTATTAGCCAAGTGAGGCTGATCAAGATAGCCGCTCTTCTGGGGGTCCTTTTATTCACATAGTCTATGGGATCGGTGATGGCCCAGAACCTATCCAAAGCGATTGCGCACAGGTGCAGGATGGAAGAGGTGCAGCACAACACGTCAAGAGAGATGAATATATCGCACATCTCCTGTCCCAAAGTCCATTTGTTCAAAACCTGATACAGGGCTGCCATGGGTAGTACCAGAACCGACACCATGAGGTCTGTGACGGCCAGAGAGCCGATAAGATAGTTGGCCACATTCTGAAGCGACCTCTCCAAGGCGATGGCAGCGATGACACACGCGTTTCCCAATATGGCAAACAGAATTAACGCAGCCAGGAAAAGCGAGCCGATTATTTGGTAACACAGAGCAACTTCACTAACTGTCGTCTCGTTCCCACTCCAGTCTTGGCTTTCTGTGGTGTTGTTGTAACTCTCCATGTTGAGAGCGGTCACTCAGAAACAGTCCCTCGCGCCGGTCACCTCGCTGCTCTGAAGACGCATGGCGGGCTCCGGGCTTAGGAAGTGCCGCACGCTCGAGCTGCGATCATTGGCGCCCAGTGACGAAGTGAATTCATTTATACGAGTCGTGCTAAGTGCGTCAGAGATGGTTGAGAGGTTGGCGCGCGCACTTTGCAGAGCTGTCGTGCAAGCTTTAAAGTAGTACAAAGTTGTATTTAGGATATGAGCTGCTATTCTAATTTGTTTTGAGATATTCAACAGTTGATGTTGTGAAAGTTGAGCACACAAATTCAAGAACGTGCTTGTTAAAATGTTTCTTGGTTGTCAATTAAGGCACAATATTTGTATTATACATTATTAATTTTTTTTACAGCCCTCTAAAACTTTTATATTTGTTTATTTTATTTTTGCAGGGCTAAACTAATTGCACTTTTTTGGATTTCCATACTAATGAAAAATATCAGCTTGAAATCTATCTGAATTTTTTTTTGTTGAAAAAAAACCCAAATGGCTATATAAGTTCAATGGTTGGAAAGAAAGATGAAAAATACTTTACAAAGCATATAATTATGTGAACAACTAATGAATTGAAAACGTATACAAATAATATATTCATTATTATATGCTCATTGCAAAACTGCCAGTATAATATGCCAGTAAATGATGATGCTTTCGAATATCATAAACAGTTTGATGATTATTAGAATTATTAGAATATACACGTGTTGTATGGCTTGACTTGTAGAGATGCATCAAAAGCACTTTCAGCACCATGGACAGCTCCTTGTGTTACCCAGAACGGAAATCTGCTGCCATCTGGTGAGAACATGGCAACAAGATGAAAGAACATTAATGACGGCGAAGTATCGAACGAGACCCCGTTTCCTAACGACTCTCAACACCATGCAGCATAGATTTTCTCTCAAAAGCGCTAGAATATAAATAATATCAATACATTTATAACTCTGGCTATAGCAAAGACGACAACATACTCGGATGATTACAACAGAAAAGGGTTTGAGAGTATGGTTTCGAAATTGATTATTAATATTAATAAACATTACATAATATAGTGCTATAACCCATCGTTACCTTATGCAATGACATTCAACTTGAATGTCTCTTTGGTTTAAGTTGTCTACATGTTTTAATCTTTTAAATTGCATTAAATTGATTTAACATTTATGTTACAAATCAAAAAATCCTTTGTTATCCATTGAAATGTACATTCAATTAAATTGTTAAAATTAAAAGATCATTGAAATATATCATGCATTTTATATTAATATACATTTTACACACATTTCTATATTGATATATATATTATTTTATATTATATTATTATGTAATATTTAATTAAAAATATTAAAACACACACACACACACACACATATATATAATTTTGTGAAAATAATTGTGTACTTGCACTTGTAACTTAATCACTATATTTATAAAGTTTCAAGAAGACCACACAAACTGTATGAAATGAGCACATATTTCGTTTCAGTCAGCGTGACTCATATATTCATATACTCATATACTCATATATATATATGCTGCTGCTAATTGTTCAGATAGAAAAAGAGCTGACCGTGTCTGTTGAAAAAGGTTGGTCTAGTTATTTCACCTAATTTTACCACCCTTATAACAATGCATGCATTGTGGGCTGTTTGAATTCTACAGGCCCCTAGAGACAATTGGGTCGCTGAACTGCCACTATTTATGGGGCTTTACCTTTGTCAACAGTGCAAAATGCCTCAGGGGGCCAGTATGTTCCTGCTCACCTCTGCAACAATGAACTCAAATGTTTCCCGTTCTGCTGCAGGGTTGGGTGCAGTGGGGGGGAGGACTCGGTTCGCCAGTGAGTTGTCTGATCTCCGAGATGGGCTCACATGGAGGAGAGGATTGTGGGCGTACGGCTGAGGCCCTGTGCTTAGAGGTCAGGCCCCTGCAGAGGGCCACACTTGGAGTCAGACTTGCCCACAGGAAGGCGTTCAGTCTGGACTATATGGACACCCATCGAGAGGCTCACTACAGAGGGCGATACTCCCCACGAGGATTCGCTCATCTGCTCTTTCCAGACTGTGATGTCCTCACTGGACATACGCTGAGGTCCACTGCCAGCCAGCAGGCTTCCACTTCCCCATGCCATAGGATAAGCCCTCCTGCTCAGCCTCCCTATAGTAGGGCTATGATGCTTTCGAGGAGGTCCGATCTTGATCCTGTTAGATCAGATATTATTAGAGGCTCTCGCGAAGATCAGGGAGCAGGTAGCTCCTTCAACCACAGAGCTCCTCTGATGTCTCTCAGCACCTCTGAGGAGGAACAGGAGGTTGGGGAGCGGGCTGGCAGAGTGACTTCATCCCTGCTCACACCTACTCCCACTGGGGAACGCAGGCTGAGCAAGAGAGAGAGGAAACGACTGAAGAGCCTGAGGAGGAGACAGAGGAGGAGAGAGCGCTGCAGACAGAACCAGCAGCAGGAGAACGCGCAGGTGAAGCATAAACACACACACATACACGAGCTGTAATAGCAGCTTCTCTTTCAAGAGCAGCTCAAGCTGGGATTGATGTGTGACAGACCATTGCTTTTCTGTCAGAATATTAGCTTTCTTGACTCAAGAGCTGCAATTCTAGAGAAGTGAGAAGATAAGATCAACTCCTTTGCAATTACTGCAAGTCTCTGTCAATCAGTTGTACTTGAAATGAAAAAGACAATGCATTAACAAACTTAAGATGAAATGCTTTGAAGTTTTCTATAAAGTTTCTTTCTGTAAAGTTGGTGCCAAAAGATTAAATTAATATATACCGTGTTTAGTTAATGAAAAAATGAATATAATTCATTTATTATTAGTTTTTGTGAGTTGATGAAAAGCTAATTGATTTAATCATAAAAATGTCAAACATAAAGAAAAAAAATTAAAATAAAAGAAAGGGGGAAGTGAAATATTTAATTTGTTTATCTGCGTGTCATGTGGTCTTTAACCAATATTAGAGAACCGTGAACATGCAAATAAGTTGTGAAAGTATTAAAATACTAAAATGCTAACTTAATATTTCAGAGTTTGGCTGACAAACGGAAGTATTATCTCTGAGCTCGATAATCAGCATCGGAGGTCTACTGTATTACTTTTATGATAAATATGAAACTTTTGACATGTAGTATCTTGAAATGAGTTTTCAGGTAAAACAATGGAAACACAATGGTACAATGGACACACCACCCAGAACAACAAGTAACTGATTGCAGATAATAATAATAATAATAACAATAATAGGCTTATATATGAATTTTGTGATTTTTGTTTCAGTGTTTGTTTTGTTGCAAGACTGATTATTTTCTGTTGTGCTGGACAACTTTTTCTTAAAATATTTTTCTCAAATTAATATTTCATTTTAGGGTTTATTTTGCAATAATTACTGGCTGGCACATTATCCCTTACATGTATTCATATATTTAAAAATATTATTCAATGCTTCTTCCTTTTTTTTCTTCTTTTTTTTTTTTTGCTAGCACAATATAAAGCTGAATGATCACTCCCGGATCATTTACACAGAATGTATAATTTTCCAGCAGAGGGCACCTTTTAACAATCAACAGGTTCTGCATTCACAATGCAATAAACCCATTCACCAGCATTAATGCTCACTGTATCACTGTTGTAAAATTTCAAGTGTATGTTTCTCTTCACAATGATTCATCTTTAAAGCACAACACCCCAAAGTGTCTCATAAGAAATCACAAACCATAGACAACTGCTCTTAGAAAGCACTAGTCCAATAATCCATGGTTTTGGTCTGATTACTATACTCAAATGCAATGATGTCTTTTGCACCTTAAAGGGATACTCCACTTTTTTTGGAAATAGGCTCATTTTACAACTCCCCCAGAGTTAAACTGTTGAGTTTTACCGTTTTTGAATCCATTCAGCCGATCTCCGGTTCTGGCGGTACCACTTTTAGCATAGCTTAGCATACATCATTGAAGTGGACAAGACCATTAGCATTTCTAAAAAAAAAATACTCTCATTCCTGCGTAATAATCAAGAAACTTTACTGCCGTACCATGAGAGCAGCAGGCGTAATGATATGACGCAGCGCCTGAAAATAGGCTACCTTCCGTCAACACAACGGAACTATTTTCAGGCGCTGCGTCATATCATTACGCCTGCTGCTCTCATGGTACGGCAGTAAAGTTTCTTGATTATTACGCAGGAATGAGAGCATAGTTCCTAGCCATATCAGCCTAGAAAATCGCAACTTTACATTTTCCGTCGGTCTTAGTGCACGATGTAACTACAGAAGAGTCAAGTTTTAAATAGGAAAAATATCGAAACTCTTTGGTCATTTTTTTTTTAGAAATGCTAATGGTCTTGTCCACTTCAATGATGTATGCTAAGCTATGCTAAAAGTGGTACCGCCAGAACCGGAGATCGGCTGAATGGATTCAAAAACGGTAAAACTCAACAGTTTAACTCTGGGGGAGTTGTAAAATGAGCCTATTTCAAAAAAAAAAGTGGAGTATCCCTTTAATTTCTCATTGTCCAGTGGCTAGAAGAGGGGTGAGTTGTGATTTGGCAGGAGGAGGTAAGGACCCTTCATAAATAATACAGTGAAGAGAAACATAAATCCTAAATTTTCATTTCAGTGGTATAATAATTCGAGTTGTAGGCAGTTTTCCCCCTTTTGGAGAGCACACAACATCTTTTTGGTACAGTGTGGCATGGCATACCAGTTAAAATACGCTTGTTAATTATTTATTTAACAAATTTGCATAATGCCTGCCTACTGTGTGGTCTTCATTGGCTGTGTTGGGGGTAATGCTTTACAAGTAATGTGAGTTACGTAATCAGATTACTTTTTTCAGGTAGCTAGTAAAGTAACACATTACTTTTAAATTTACAACAAATACCAAGTCACTTTTTTAAATAAGTAGTGCAAGTTACTTTGTTTCCCCATTTATTGACTGAAAACTTTCCTGTCCTCATGTTGAGGGAAATCGGGAGTAAGTGCAGACGCGTTGTGTGCACTTTGTAAACATGATGGTTATTGTAGTTCTAGACTAAATGTGAGCACGCATTTATTCATCTCACTTGCACAAAAACAGATTCAGTATTCCTCAAAATGAATAAAAACAGTGAAATGCAAACTCAGAATATTACGCAAACCTGCAATAATGAAATATGTTAAATAGCACAAATACACAAATATACTTTGTGTATTTAATGTCACTTTAATAACTAATGTCTTTGCTGACCTTCAGTTATCCAATTCAACCGTACAATAAGCAAAAATGACTTTTTATTGCTGAAGCTGAAAGATTTGTTTGAGCTGCACCCTATACTGAGGCTTATTCATTTTACTTTTGGTGTGAAAAGGCCATTACATTTGCCAAAAAAATATATAACTTATTTTTATTAAAAAACAAACAAGCAAGCCCAGCCCACGTGAGAAAAAGTAGCACATTACTTTATATCAAAAGTAACTAAAACAATTAGAAACTTTTTTAGGGATTAACACAATATTGCAACGCATTACTTTTAAAAGTGACTTTCCAAAAGACTGTTCAATAGCATGCCTGTGAACATCTTACTTTGACACACCTTCAAACATTGTAGTTGTAGCTGAGGCTAACATGTCGAGAAGATGCTGTTTTATGTGCTGCGAAAGCAAATCCACTTTGCATGTAGTTCAATAGGATGAGAATGTGGACTCGGGCTCAAATTGATATGGTAAAACCAACGGCATTGTTACTATTTGTATCACTGTATATACAGGTGAGGGCTGAAATTCAGATATGGTAATGGGATTTTGGTTTACAACACATGCTGTATGCAATACACCAATCACAACAGACTGGGCCATCTGACCAATCAGACCACAGCAGGTTCTCAGTAAAAAGAGATGAAGTTAGAATCCTTTATTGAATTGAACCATTTCATACACTGTGAGAAAACAGGTGATACTGCAATGTAAATTGTGAGAAAATGCAAGTGTTTTTTTTTTACCTTGGAAGCATGTAAACCTAATGGAGACATTAACAACAAAATTCCATGTGATATGTTTTCCATGTGATATCCTGGGTTGTCAAGTGGGATGTGGAGACTTTTATGAGATGTGTATTTGGTGTTAATGACACAACTAGGGAAAAAGGAGCATGGTCTCTGGAGGTCCCAATGGGAGGGAGAGCTGTAATTATGCTGACAGTCCCTGTGCATCAGAGAAGTCTTGTGTGGGACACACCACCCCTGCTCAAAGCCTGTCTCTAACACAATACAAAAGATGCTTCATAGTCCAACAACCAAGTGTGTTAAAGGTCAAGTTAAAACACTGTTTATACGAACCATCAGCATAACACTGAAAGCGATGCTCCCTAGTGAAGGTGAAGCTCACCAGATTGTTGAGTTTAACAGCACTGAGTCATCTCCTCTCTGTTGAAGAGCTCTACAGGGAACCCATCTAGCAGCAGTGAGGATGAGGAGCTGCCCAGCCGGGATCGTGAAGGCTATATTTGTGCAGTGTGTCTGGATGTCTACTTCAGTCCATACATGTGCCATCCCTGCAGCCACGTCTTCTGTGAGCCTTGTCTGCGGACACTGGCCAAGAACTGCCCCACCAACACACCCTGTCCATTGTGCAGAACCACCATAACACATGTTTTCTTCCAGAAAGGTTTGTTTCAGGAAAAAAGAAATCTTGAAATGTCAGGTATCTTTTTATAAATGTGACTTATAATGATAATAATAATAATATGCAAGGAATAATTGTGTGTGCATTATTTTTCAATAATTCAACGGCCCAGTCAATTATTCCGCCGATACTATGGTTACCACACCTCAAAACATTCTTCAGATCATGGATTTCAAGACATTTGTTAGGTTTTTGTCCTTAAATTCTCTTGTAGCCAGCCTATGTAGACTAATTTCTTACGCATCTAATCCGAAGCCTCCATTGCTAATTCCAAAAGGTAATTTTATAGCTAGTAATGGGGGCTTCAGCCATTGATAACAGAATTCAGTTATTAATGCAGTTATTAGAGAGAGAGAGAGAGAGAGAGAGAGAGAGAGAGAGAGAGAGAGAGAGAGAGAGAGAGAGAGAGAGAGAGAGAGAGAGAGATGAATTAACGTTACCTCAGTCTGTGAGTCTCTCAACAGTGTTTGGAAGCAGGTCTCAGCAAAACTGTAAGTTTATCCTCTCCAAGAACAGAGCCGTTATTAGGCTATGAGAAATGTCATGTAACTTTTAAGTTGTTAAACTATTTTACTGACAAAATCGACAGAGCCACGCTGGCGACACATTTCTGTATGAGTGTGTACTGTTGTGTGTGTGTGCGCGCGCGTTTGAAAGCGGGAGAAAGAGTGCTTTCCGTACATAATTAAAATTTAATTTTGTGGTACAAATTTTTAAATCATTTGACGTTTTTATCCTATTGTTTTACTATTTATTTGCTTGGTCAGTGTCGTTGTGGGTTTTGGTTATTTTGCTATTGTACTTGCAGGCTGTAAAGGCCTTTGAAATAACTGAAATCATTTGGCGAAGTGATACTGTAATGCGCTCAATACCTGCCTGGAACTACTTTAGCCGTGTGTTTCCATGAAAATAATTGCACACCTTAGAACGAATTGCACACCTCAACCAATCAGATTCAATTCAACAGCCCCATAGTATAAAATATATTTTCAGAGGTGGACAGTAACAAAGTACATTTACTACTGTAGCTTACTATAGTTTTTGAGTCTCTGTACTTTACTTGAGTATTATTTTTTCTGGAAACGTTTTACTTTAACTGCACTGCATTTGAATTATATTATAATAATATATTTTGTTGTTGTTGAGATTTTCTGGAAAAATGGGTAATTTAGAAGATAGATAGATAGATAGATAGATAGATAGATAGATAGATAGATAGATAGATAGATAGATAGATAGATAGATAGATAGATAGATAGATAGATAGATAGATAGATTCATTATAAATTCCCAAGGGAACCCATGGAGCATTAGGCTTCTGAGTCGGCCCTCAAACAGTTCTGTAAGACATAGATTAACAGTGAGAAGAGGAGAAGTACTGTGAGAATAGAACTTAAGATGAGATCTGAGGGGAAAAGTTCATGACAGTGAATAATCTACTCAGCAAAGGAGATGTGAATTAAAGGACCTGAGAGTACTGGTGTATAAGGATGGAAGAGCTGAGAAAGATAGGTAAAAAAAAAAAGTAAACTACTAGATATTTACTGCTGAGCTTTATACTGTAGTCTGCTATAGTTTTGCAAGGTAGTGCAATGAAAAGTAAGGAAAATTCCTGCATGTTAACCCAGTGCGTGCTTTTTGACAGTGATTGACCAGAAAAGGCTCTTATTGATTTTCAAACTAAACGTGACATAAAATATAGCAGACAGGATCTGATCTGAGAGACACCTTATGAGATAGATATGTAGCCTAAATAAATATAAAATGAGTCTGGGCTTTCTGAAAGTAATGCACTTTAATGCACATTGCATTGAGAGCATTAATGATTCACAGATAAATAAATTCACACATCCCACTCTTCACAGAACTGAACCATACAGCTCGTATGTTCTTCCCGAAGGAATACCTGTCTCGGAAGCAGAATTTCCAGAAAGCGAGCTGTGCAAAATGGCCTCTTCCGAGCTGCCGTAAACTGTTTCGCATTTTCGGAGGTAAAACCATTTCTAAATCAATTTCACCGAATTCCACCATAAATAAACTCTGCAGATTCAGTTGTTATTCTTCGTAATATGGTATAATGTTCATTGTAATAGTCATTGTGCTTTGTCTTGCTCTCTGTCTTTCTTCCTCTCTCCCACTCTTTATCTATATCTGTCTTTCTTAGGCTTTCAAAGGCAGGCAAGTCCAATTGGCAGACGCCAGTTCCCTCACAGGGGCTACAGGCTTGATTCCTTCAACTTTGAGGATGATTCGCATGGCTGGCGATTTGACATGGACATGGTGATCATATACTCCGTCAACTGGGTCATTGGCTTCATTATCTTCTGCTTCTTCTGCTATTTTTTCTTCCTCTCTTTTTAAAGAGAAGGCGCGAGAAGCTGTCTGCAGTGTTTCTGAACTCTTAGGACAATAGAGAGGTCGGCAAAAAAGGAATCGTACTGCAGCTGCTTCTGGACTATACGTGTATGGGACTAGGGACGAACGCCAACCGATCACAGAGCGAAATGAATCCATGCAGCTAAAATTCCAAAGCTTGATGATCTGTTTACCACAAAGATGATTCATGATTTTTGAGTTCGTGCTTTGCCTAACATCTGTTTGCTTTCAAACAGAATTTTGGCCAACTGTGTGCAGCTTTGCATGGATAATCACACGAGTGGACTCTTCATTTCACCTCAAGTTGTATTCACTTGCTTTATATTTAGTGTGAATATGTTTGTGAAGGGTCTTCTCTTACAGCTAATTTCCAAAGTGCAGTGCTGCAGGTTTGTGAACTTAACTATCCATAACTGCCTGTCAGCTTCTAAACTATCCATAGAATATGCTAAGAATTATAACATCTATTTAATTTAACGCTCTTGTTTGTTTTTACAGTAATGCTCAAATGGCCATAACGGCTCGTTGTGAGATCTCAATTACTATGCTCAATTTGTTGTCTTAGATAAGTAATCCGACCACTATTATGTCAAATAACAGACTTTTGCGATCTGAGATAACTTTTTTTTTTTACTTATTTGTTCCATTAAGTTTGCATTTGACTTAAGTAACTACTTTAATTTGCTGTTAGCATTCATTGTTATTGTCTCCTCCATGGCCCAGAATCTTTCAGAGGAAAATGATTGATGTTATTATTATTTTATATTGAGGATATAGATTTTATATTCAAGTAATACTTTTACATGACATACATTTTATGTAGGCTATTTAGGCCACTTAAATTAAAAACATTAAAAACAAAAACATATGAAGCAGTAGAGAAATCTTTAATATTGTAAATCTTTTCCTGCACTTAATATTTAACGTTATTTTCCTGCAATAAATATTTAATATCGAAAGCTAGAGGTATAATCCTTTGGAAGCTTTGTTCAGTCCTTGTTGTCAAGACATGCTGTCTTGTTCTATTTCAACCATCTGCATACACACAGATTACATTAGACCATCTCAAATGCAGTGGTTTCTCTATAGTGGTTTGGCAGAGAACAACACAACAACAGGCTGCCATTAGGTCTAATTGTGCTTCTAGCTTTTTGCACAATTAAGATTTATTACAATTAACAGTAGCCTATGATTCAACCACTAATAGAACATTTCCTAATAACCAACCGTAAGTAGACACTTTACTTGTAGGGCCTATCATATGAATGTTTAATAAGACTCATTTGAGATGGGTGAATCTGAGTTGGTGAGTTGGTGAATCTGTTGCATTAGTATTCTCATCCTATGAGAGTGCAGTGTGTTCAACCACGTCATGCCTCAAGCAACTGCACCTATCAAGGTTAGAATAGCGCTCTTAGATCACCTTCTGCTACCTACTCTCAATAAACGGCATATAGAGTGTATCATTTCAACTTGCGGCACATTTTAGTCTATCTCAAGTAGCGAGTATTGTCGCGGGGAGGTGTATTTCTTCGTTGAAGGGCTATACGGGGCATCAAGACATGTTTGCATCTGGTTCTTTGTTATCGCATTTCTCTCTGCTGAAGAAGAAGAAACCCTGCAAGGACACTTCAGCTCTCTGCAGGAGTGAATGAAGGTGACTCGGCTTCTGCATCGTGGCGATGCGGAGAGAATCCAGGAGCAAGACACGGGCAGATCGATCAATTGAGTAAGACATTTTTTCCAAACGAGTGGCAGTATATAGATCAATCAGCGTTTTATATCAGGGCAGTTTCTTCACTTGATGTGTATGCATGAGTTCTGCACCGAATGGGCGCAAAAACCGCCCCAGAACTGCCGGGACCATTTTCCAGATCGGCAGTAAGCCCCCGTCCAGAGAGCCGGAGCGCCGGGAGAGCAGCGAAGCTCAGCGTGCCGTAGCGGACTGCAGAATGGTGCGTATGCCTGCGTCATGACCCACAGCATTATTCCGCTATGATTCCTGCTGATTGTTCAACCACCATTTCAAATTTACGCAGGGTTCTGCAGAAGTACCAACATCCTAAATGTATAATGCGACACTATAGGGACGTGAAATAAAAAAATAATGCTTTGAGGTTTGACTTGTCATATGGTGCGGCGGTAGTTCCAGCTTCCTTTTTCTAACTGATTTTCAAGAAACAACGTTTCATTTGACAGATTATGGCGTGGAGTGAGCGATACTCTATTTTGGGCTAAAACTGCAGCACATTTGTAAAGCTCGTGTGTTGTGTTTGAGGAATCGTTGCCCCGTTAACAGGCAGAAAGCTTGTGGCAAGCCGTTTTAACATTGACAATGCAGTTGCCTTGAATTTTTGACATTGAATTCTATGTCGATCTGTGGTGCAGATATCAACTGTTCGCTTATGACTAACATGTCTTCCAATTGTTTATTAAGTGCTGGCATTATTTTAAATTGGCTAACTATTCTGTATAGTTAGGCTACTAATTGCCTTGTTGGAAGTGAATAATTGACATCTGAGCAAAAATATGCAAAATGCTTCCAAGAACAATGTAAGTTACTTGTCACTTTTACTAGTAGTGAGCAAAGACTATATAGAAAGAAAACTATGTACTCATATGAATGAGAGAAAGTGCTTGCAATATGGCGGAATAAGTCCTGCCTTCTAAATAAAATAGGCTGGGCCAGTCTGAAATATAAGCTTTTTTAATGCTATTTGAGCATAAGAAACAACATTTATGGGATAGTTTGTGTCAGATTTCACTGGCGATTTCAAATATGCAATTTACTCATAAGCTTGTTGAACAGCTTTGGAGAATTTGATGTTTCCCCATTCAAAGAGTTAGGTGCTCTACTTGCATGATTGAAATAGCTGCCCAAGAGGCGTTTCAAAGATGGCCGCCGAGTGAAATTACTTGCCTTAAAGGGACATTAGTCGTGAGTGAATGAGTGCTAGTTACTAATTGAATAGATACTAGTCAATATTTGAATAAGTAGCCTACTAATATTAAATGAATAATCACTAGTGAAATTAAATAAACATAGTGGTCATTATGGGATTACTTACAAGCAGTGCTCGAAGTGGGCTGGTACACACTTCTATATTTTAATCTGTAACATACCCTCACTTTTTCTCTGACCGCCCCGCCCTCAGAGGGCGATTTCATCCGAGATTGAGGAATGTAAGAGCACTGATTACAAGTAATTAAAAAAATAAGCATTAGTTACATAAAAAGATACTAGTTAAAGGCATAAATGTTAAAACTGCTTGCCATTGAACGCTTATCCTTTCTACCAAATATTGATAAAAATGGCATGAGCATCTGTTGCCTGAGGTGCTACTTTCCAACAAATTGCCTGTTTTTGTGACATTCTCTGTTCAAAATAAAAAAGTCTTGACAAGTTGGATACATGTCATTTCGTCAATGTTTAGTCATTTTATTTATCTGCTTCATACATTTTCAAGGTTAAAATGGTTTTGTGAGCCCTATATTTTCTCAGTTTGTTTGCTTTTGTTTTTCTCTCTTCCATCAGGTTGTCCAGGAGTTCAATACACTTGTGGCCCTCTATAGGGAGTTGGTTATCTCTATTGGAGAGATTTCCACTGATTGTCCCTCTCTTCGTGCGGAAATGCACAAGACACGCACAAAAGGCTGTGAGATGGCACGGACCGCACATCAAAACCTTTCTGCAATATCAGGGTAAAACATATTTATGTACAATGTCATATTTTTTAATATATTTATACATTACATGTTAACATATTGCATTTTAATGTGAGAGGGCCAATGAGACATTTAGCTAAACTTTAGGTGCTTTAGTTTTGTCTGAAATTAATATTTTGTTTTTGATTTACACTTTTTCTTCCTTTTTTTTATCAAACAGTAATTGGCATGCAGTACCCATGCGGACCCCCTAGGTGTCATGGACCCCCTTTTGAAAACCTCTAGTCATTATTAACTCACACTTACATCTTATAAGCACGTGAGCTATTATAAAATCGTATCATATAAAATTATATTGTAGCTTGTTATTAATTATAAGTCTGAGCACTTTGCACAGCACCATTTAGTTAATAAATATCAGCTAGTTCTGCTGGCTCATCATGCAATATGTTTGGAGAGCAGGATAAATGATGATTAAGTTGGAAATGTTGCTTTCAACTGTGCTTCTATCATAAATCACAGGCCCGTAACATGGTTTTATATTAACACATTTATATTTAACACAATAAATTGACACTACTGCTCTTGATTAGTCAACACATATCCATATTAAGTTGTTTTTTTTGACAGCCTCCAAAAATGCTCTTTACTAGAAAACATTTGATGTCATATATGTCAATTAAAGTAAGCAAATCTGAATGTAGTGTCAATTTTAGTCTCTTTAGTGCTGTAATAATGTACCAGAGGTAATGGCAGTGGATTTATTTTCATCATGGATCATGATATCTTGCTCTTTGAATGAACATGGAGAGAAATTCCCTCTACACATAATTTTACTACTTTTATAGAAACAATTTTGGTATTTAAATAGATTTAGTACTGTAGTGTGTTACAGTCAATATGACAATTTACCACAGAGAGGAGGGAACAAAGAGCAAACGGTTTGCCTAATGGACACGTGACATGATTTATCTTACATGAGTTTGGTGCATCTCTCTGTTCCAGGTAATCCAAGAACAGGAAAATAAAGTATCCACCATGTTACAGCATTCCACATGGGAATTACAGAGCAGAAATTACAGGCGTAGGATTCTGAGAAATGTGATTTTCTGAGAATTGTCACTGGCCACTGAGCTAATGTGTTTAGAGCTCGAGATTGTTTGAACTTCCTTGTAAACATGCTGCTCGGCAATAATCAAGATCCCAGCAAAATCATTGGATGTTTGAATATTTCTGTTTTTAATGGGCTTGTTATTTGGGCATTAAGTTTCATAAAGACAGTGTCATTTTAATTAGATCCATGGCACGACAAATTCATTTAAACTGTAGCAAAATTGGTGTTAGTGCTGGTAAGTTTGATTCAATTCTGTGAATCAGTTCCGTTTCAATTTCGATGAATCAATTCAAAATTCAATTTGCATTCGATTTGCCTCATCAGTGAGAAATTTTTACAGTAGTCTCCGGGTTCACATTTAAAAAATATTTTTGTATTGTTATATCGGTGCATATAAATGAAAACGATTAAATATAAATGTTCCTTGTGTTAATTTAGTGTTAAAGACATGCCATGATTATTTTTACTGTATTTTACCTACTGTACATTAAAGATTTAGAATCTACTTGGCAACAATGGCTGTTTAGTTCAAATGATGGTCTTTCAGATGTTTTAAGCAGTTTTAGTGTAAATGATTAATACCAACATATTTAATATCGCCGAAAAACTGAAAAATTAGCTATATAGCCCAGAACTGACATCATATGTGTCTGAGACTCATGATTTCTGTCAGTGGTCACTTGTTGTGGACGGTGAGGCGTATGAATGCAAGGATACTGTATGTAACTTGTAAGAAATTAAACATGTTGAAAAGTGCAGGGGGGGGGGGGGGGGGGAACTCTACAGAATCCAGATCTGAGATGCATTAGTGATGCTTTTTTTCACAGCCCAGAAGATGGAGAAATACATCCGGAGATCTGCCGCCTCTTCATCCAGCTGCAGTGCTGTCTGGAAATGTACCTGACGGAGATGCTGAAGTCTGTATGTCTGCTGGGATCCCTGCAGCTCCACAGAAAAGGTAATGCTGTGAGGTCGCCCCTAGGCTCTCAGCAGGAAACATCCACACCAGTCACAGGAAATTGACGTTGATGGAGCCTGGCTTGTCAAACTAAAGAACCTTCTAGTGGCTTAATGTTTGCAGGAGTTGATACTGCTAGTTTCTGTGATTTCTATCTGATTTGAGCTTATAGGAAACTATGAAAATATGGATGTTCTGGGAGCAGGTTGACTGTTGCCAAGGGGTCAAATTTTGACATGACATGATATTTTGACCATTTCTATTTCTCTACTACAGTCTGCCAGACCAGTGATGTCTTACTGTATGTGTTCCAGGGAAACATTATGCAGGAGGTACTAAGGTAGACGGTAAGAAAGAGGACAGCTCTGACATTCCAATCTTGGAAGACACGTCCTCCACTCCAGCGGACTGTTCGCAGACATACGTCCTGGTGGCCACAGACATTGAGAACATTGAGAGGTGAATAGTCTGAGCTGCTTCACTGAAGGGCCGCTTCACACAGAAGGCGTTTTTCCATTCCACTGTGCTACTTTTTTCCCAATGTAAACACGTCTTTAACGGTTGTGCTCACATCTCACATCTTTTGCAAGACTTTTTCTCAAGTTAAAATAAGTTCCATCTTTTTGCTCCACTGACCTGCGGCCTTTTTAACCACAAAAACGTGTTCTGTGTGAATGGCCCCTGACAGGATCTTTATCTCTCAGTTTTCTTCACCAATAACTGATATTGAATCTGAAATGGTTCCTCAATGTTCTAGGGACATGACAGAAATGAAAAATCTGCTAAGCAAACTCAGGGAGACAATGCCTTTACCACTGAAGAACCAAGGTAACATCTCAACACTTTCTCAGTGTCGGCTTTCGGATTATTTTGGATAATATTGCTGATAAATTCATTACAAACTTGGCCATCAAGCAACATCTTTCATCAAAATCTTTCAACAATAGCAAAGTCTCAAATTGTTTATCTATACTACTGTTTTTTTGTTGTTGTTTTGAAAGAAAAAGAGCCTTTTGCTCACAAAGGTTGCATTTATTTAATAAAAAGAAAAAATCGTAATGTATTTCAAATGAAATTTATTCCTGTGATGGCAAAGCTGAACTTTCAGCATCATTACTCCAGTCTTCAGTGTCACATGATCCTTCAGAAATCCTTCTAATATGCCGATTTGGTGCTAAAGAATTTTAGAAACATTTATTGTTAAGAAACATTTATTGTTAATAATATATTGTTTTTTTCAAACCGTGATACAGTACATTTAATTCAGGATTCTTTGATGAATAGAACAATGTTTACTTAATATAACCTTTTGTAACATTATAAATGTATTTACTATGACTTTTAATTTTGTTAAGCATACTAGCTGAATAAAATAATGAATTTATAAAAATAAAAAAAAATAAAACACTGACCCCAATCTTTTGAACGGTAATTTATTTTAGAAGATTTGCATAGCTATCTTTACTAAGGATAACCTTACTTAATAGGATTATTTGCCAGAAAATAATAATTATTGTGATGATACAGTGGTTTCCACAAAAAGCACAATATTTCCATTTTGTGCACATTTACAATTTATTTTTTGCAATATTCTGATTTTATTCCAAAATTAAATGTGCATCCTAGATAGAATTTTTTTTTGACACTTTTGGTCAACTTTAACATGTGGAATTATAAATAATGTTTGGTTAAATGAATGTAAAACGGCTCTATCTGTCTGTTCTTGTATTGATACAGATGACAGCAGTTTGTTGAATCTGACGCCATACCCGTTGGTCCGGCAGAGAAAGCGGCGTTTCTTTGGCCTCTGTTGTCTGGTGTCCAGCTAAAAGCTCTCTCCCAGAATCCAGTCACAAATGACTGCGTTTCCTCACAATGTGTGACACTCACCAATCAACAGTACTACTGCCATTTCTCAAACCAGTGCTTTCTTTTGGTGAGTTCTGTCCGATTTCCTACTGCTATGAGAATAAATAGTAATATCTGTGTAACATCAGTAGTCATACACACACTATATAATATTTGATCAGTACAACATATTTTCATTATTAAATGAATGTTTGTCTACATTATGCTTAGTAAAGAAAATGGTTTGTAATATGACTACAGCTATGTTTATCCATACGATTCATATGCTGTGCTTTTTATCAAGGCAGGTGTTGTAATGAGGCGTTCAAGAGTGCTAATTAGAGCAAAGGTTATGATGTTTAACATTTACGATGCTTTTTTTTTTTTAATACTGCACAACATGAGTGAATGTGGTATCTGTTGTTTCTTTCAATCTGCTTCTTTTTTTTTTTTTGCTGTTACAATATTTTTACTACAGTATTATTTAGTCTTCCATAAACCGAAATCCTGTAACTTTTTTCTTTTTGTTTCAGCCTTTAGGAGTATAAAATACCTGAAGAAGCCTTTGTAAATAAAGAATATATCTATAAATGGACATTTTAGAGATGTACATATACAATGTAAACCTAGCGCTCTGAATTATTTTTCAAAACTGTGATTCCTTTAAAGAGATTGTCAGTAAAGGATGGCATGTCTGTCCATCTGGTGTGATATAAGTCCAGATTGGAGGGGCTCAGCATGGGTCTTGCTTATTAATAACAGTTCTAAATGTGTCAGGCATGGTGAAGATACTGTAGTGTTTATGAAAAGGCACAGTGTCGTTTTACATTGGTAATAAACCTTTTTTTAATGATTTAACAAAACTGGAACTTTGTGTCTCATATTAAAAATGATATTTTATTCAACATATAATATACCATGATGAGTTAAGAAAAGATTCCGAAATCAAATCAGTGGAATAATAAAAGTCATTATGAATGACTTTCAGAGAAACTGTTTGAAAAAAAATGTATTTAGATAAAAACCACCACATAGCCATGCTGTTATCCACGATTCTCCGAACAATCTTGTGACACAGGCTCTTATTTCAACGCACAAACAATTTCTCTCATTAAAATATAACTTTTGTATCACAGTCAGTTAGAGGTAATTTGATTTGTTTGCACATTAATATGGAGGCTGTGAAATTCACACCTGGCAGCAGTGCCTACCCTTTTACTTTCTCAGAGCAGTAATGGAGGATGCAAAACAACAACAACAAAAAAACTTTACAAGAATAGACATGGTTTTCAGGTTAATTATTTGGCTGCAATGCCTTCGCTGGACAAGCTGTTGGCGGGAATCTGGGTTGTCAGGTGTTTGGCAAGACGTCTGGATCTGGCTGAATAGGACGCTGTTCTGAGCCCAGTAGAAGTCCAGAACAGTCGGTTTAAATTGTGCAGTAATGCTTTTTTGGTAACACTTTATAATAAGGTTAATTAGTTAACATTAGTTTAGCTTATTTTTTGTCTGAAACTGATAAAAAAAAAAGACCTTAAAGTCTTGGTAAGATGCCCATCTTTAAAAAGTGAAAGCTTCAAAATCAAAATGAGAGGTTAGCCTTAAAGCTAACACTCATAGACTATCTAAAAATACGAAAAATCGTATTGTTTTTTTGTCGACAGAACCAGTAAGATGCTAACTTACAGTCTGGCCTACAAAAACACATCACTGCTGTGCTCTATTCTTTTGTCCAGCCCAAACTTCCTGTTTTAATGGAAAAATATGTCAACACAAGAAAAAAAACTGCACTTGTCAAGCCTTTTCTTTTAAGAAAGAATGCAGGAATCCTTCTCAGAGTACAGTATATATGGTTACACTATATAATTAGTTAGTGAGCCTCTAAGTTTATGACTGACAAGGTTGAATGCTGACAATGTGGACAGCCTCTCCTCTGCATTTCCTCACGCCCGCTTCACATTCTGTCACTGTCACTGCAGACGCTCCATCCTGCTGCACACACACATGGATCCAGGCGTCCAGGGATGAACATTCCTCACTTGTCTTGCAACGGCAGCTGTTCGTTTGCTCTACAACGACATGATTGTTACAACATTTTAGTCTTTAAAATAGCACTTTCCTGACTAGGTTCAAAAAGATATTAGCAAGAGTTTACATTTTCAAGCCATGGTTTCCCTCAGGAATTTTCAAATGTTTTTTTTTTTTTGAAAGGCAGTTTTCAATTTTTGTGGCTAGCATTACTTAAAGTGACTTTCATAATTGTTTTACAGCATAAATTACACTGTCAACTCAAAACATGAATTTTGAAAGCATTGTGCATGTTTTAAAAACGTACGATGCTATAGATTCATGTTTGGGTTTATGAGAGTGTGTAATTTATGTTGTAAAACTAAACTTGGAAGTTTTGTCATAAGTCAGGTCGTGTTAACCACAGACTTTATTTTACCCATAAAAAAAAAAACACTACCGATTTTTCCATTTTTGAAAGAAGTCTCTAATGCTCACCAAGGCCGCATTTATTTGATGCAGTAAACAAAGTAAAAAAAAAAAAATTATACAATTACAACTGTTTTTTATTTTAAAATATTTTAAAATGTAATTTATTCCTGTGATGGTAAAGCTGAATTTTCAGCATCATTGCTCCAGTCTTCAGTGTCACATGATCCTTCAGAAATAATTTTATTATGCTGATTTGCTGCTCAGGAAACATTTATTATTATCATCAATGTTGAAATGTTGTTTTTGAGGCTAAATATTCTTATTGAAACTGATACACTACTATTTAAAAGTTAGGGGGAAATTCGATAAAAAAAAGAAAAGAAATTAATATTCACCATTATTCAGCAAAGATGCATTCAATTGATCAAAAGTGACAGTAAATATTTATATATTTCAAATAAATGCTGCTCTTTAGAACTTTCTATTCATCAAAGAATCCTAAATAGAATGTATCATGATTTGACCAAAAATATTACCCAGCAGAAACTGCTTTAAACATTAATGATAATAATAAGAACCATTGTTAATAAATGAGCACCAAAAATAACTGATAATAACTGAGCACCAAACCAGCATTTTGATTTCTGAAGGATGATGTGACTGAAGACTGCAGTCATGCTGCTGACAATTTATTACAGGAATAAATAACATTTGAAAATATATTAAAATAGAGATATTTATATCAGTGCCAGTGTAACCTGACACTCCGATTTCTGTCTGCAATGGTGTAAGAAAGACACAATGTCATATTTACTAAAATTCAGATATGATGTGCACCATTATTTGATCTTGCATTGTACAACCCCTCACCATCACAACTCTCCCAGATGGTGCAGTGTGGACAAGCAGTGGAGGAGCGTTGTATCCACTGGCAGGCACTGTCTTCAGCAAGGGTGTACAGGTGTCCCAGACAGCGCATAGCCTGTACTTTACACAGACTCAGTCTCTGCGACCGACCGCGCTTCACATCAGTGGCACATACCTCCAAGGAAGCCCTGCAAAAACACAACCATTGTGAAAATTAGAACTGAAACACAACTGAAAATTTGGATGGTTGTGTAGAAATGCCTTTCTGACATTTGCATGTGTTTTATTGCTATGTGGCAATTGTGTTGTGTAATGCTAATGGATTGTCTGGGAACATACTTGCACTCGTGGGGTACTTTACAGACACATTTATCCTTTGCCAGGTTCTCCCACGGCTGGCATTGCACTGACACAGTGGTCGAATTAAAAACTAGTGAAAAAACATCACATACTTTTACTCAAATTTTCAATACATTTCAATTAATCAAATGATATCCTTGTAAGAGTTGTCCCTTCCCATTACAGCTACAGTAAGTAATGTGTTCATTCACATTTTCTTCACTCTGAATTACTGTACAAGACCTGTGAGACAGCTGGTTTCTTTTGGCTGTGGTGACCAGGAGAGGCCAGCGTTGCACTGGATCTCAGCCGGACCCTCTTTGACTTTGCCTTCAGGACAGGAAAGCGAGAGCGCTTCACCGATGTTATAGGCAAGCTTCCATGGGCTTCCGGTGACATCTGGAGGAAGCTGAGGTCGATCACACAGTGTTTCTGCAGACAGCATGGCATCGTTTATTATAAAACATATGCACGGTTTCTTTCTCATATCTTTGAAATGTAAAATATTAAAATGTAAATAAAATTAATTGATAAAATAATAACATTTCATTAAATAATTATAAATAACAATTGCATAATATAAAAATATAGTTACGTATATATTAAGTATTTATATCATATAGTATTAATGAAACATAGTTCCCTTTCAGTCGGTCAGTCTGATGTACGTCTCCTAAATTCTCTAAAATGTAGGCTATAAAAAAAACTTCTTATAGTTCTTATATTTTATATTTATATTATTTAATATTTACATGAAACACAAATAGTCTCATATAAGCTCCTCAATAATGAATGAATCATTAAGTATTTATGAAACATGGTTGTTCTAAAATGTATGCATATTGTCAATAATAATTATATACAATACATCACATCAAAATTATCGTTATTTTAAGAAATTATATCATCTAGTATTTATGAAACATGGTTTCCCGTTCTCTAAAATGTATATTTAAAATCATTAAAACAATAATAATTATTATATACATTATATAAAATACAGCTTTCAAAACTATAGATATCATATTATGCATTTACAGTATATCATTTCACTTTTATCTAAAATATATAAATAATGACAAAGTACATCAGCAATGCTAAACACACCATCAAAATAAAACTGAAAAGTACACTGAAAATGAATACTAACATCAGCATTCAACAGCTCCAAAAAGTCATATACACTCACTCTTGCACTCTATTTGATATCGTAACCAGTCTAGGTTTTCTTGGCATTCTGCTATAGGATCTCCAATCAAATGATAACCTTCAATACATGCATACTCAATCTTACTGCCCACTGGATATGCATCTTTGGGGTACTGCAATTGGCAGAAGAGAACAACATTATAACACATCACAAAAACATATTCAATCACAGTTGAGTGGAGAATACAGGTATTTCATATAATCATTATTACCAAAACAAACCCATTAGCAAGGAAGGGTGGTGTTTTACAACTTTCCCTGGGTGTGACTGAATCATCGAAGCAGTGAGGCTCCATAGTACTGAAAATAGGTCAAAACCAATAAGTCAGGCTTCCACACAGTGGCAGTGTTGTTGCACAGCAGTTTCATTCTCTGGGTCTCCAGCAACTTTCAGAGAACCAGGCTAGTGCCCTTCCTCACCGTAGGTAATCTAATTCCTCCGCATCACCACAGGCTGTGGTCTCCACAGCATTCCCAATACAGTCCCTGCCGCCCGAAGGAGCCGGGCGACTGCAGGAACGGCTCCGGCTTTTCTGTCCTTCCCTGCAGGTGCTCCATGAAGACCAACAGGCCCAGTCTCCATGGATCACTCCTAAGATACAAAGATATTAACTGGACACTCAAAAATAAGTATAGTCAGTGACCCCAAAAAGTACTTACGCTACACTTTAAAAGGTAACAATTTATTTCCATGGTCCACTTCAGACATTCTATAATAGACTAACTATAAGTAAATGTGCAACTACATGTCAACCAGCCATTAGAGTATTATAGACTGTCTGCTCAGAGCCGGACAGTAACGGAGTACATTTACTTGAGTACAGTACTTAAGTACAATTTTGAGGGATCTGTACTTTACTCGAGTATCATTTTTGGGGAGTACTCATGACTTTACTCAAGTACATTTGAGAGGCAAATATTGTACTCTTTACTCCAATACATTTCTATCCATAACCGTGAGTACCCAAGTAAAAAAAAAAAAAGTAAAGAAAAATCTCGGAAACCCTAAATTTGTTGTTTCCCTCTCAAACGTGATTGGATTGTGCAGGCGCCACTGATTGGGACAGCCTATCAGCAATCACTTTCAGCTTTCCGCCAAAGTCAACTCCATGGTCAGATTTTATATTACACATTAATGTAAGCCAAGCATTTGGTTTGATGTTCTTGAGTATGTGGTGTGTTTAACACAGTCAGGTTCAAATGTGGCAGTGGCGTAGCCGCGAGGGATTTCTGATTTCTTAAAAAAAAAGCTTTAGGAGGCAAAATATATTTTTACTGATTATGTGAATTACACTGCGCAAACCAAAGTAGGCTACTACCCAGCGAATGAAGAAGGGTTGGCGCTCAGTCTCCACAGTACATAAAATATTAATTTTGTATTATTTTATTTTTCGGGTTTGCATTTATGAGGAAAAAACAATGTTATGGACGTGTTCTCCGCTACGGACGTGAGCGCTCTGAAAGCGGCATAAAAAATGCTTTAAAACTTTCACAGAGACATCAAACAGAAAACACAAAACCTTTCTTTAACCTGAATTTCGTTTTGCATTAATTGTATCTTAATTTGAATCAATGTTTCATCAAACAATTGCCTGGGTTTAACAAATAAGAAGTAAATAGCAGACGATAGATAAGAAACGGAGGCGCCGGCACGTGAACTGGATCTCGTCTCATAAATAAACCGAAACTCAGTGTATAAGGTAGCCTACTTGCCTCTCACAGACATGTCTACTTTTAAACAGAAAAATTAAAAACGAAAGAAAACAGACTACAGACTGCTCTCTGCTTAAGTAATCCGTATGAAATTTGCATTTCTCTCTGGCGCGTTCACTACTGAAGATCGCGAGTCAGCATCGTCAACTTCATCTAGCTGACACTGACAAAGAAAACACTTGTTTATTAACAAGTGTTTATTAATAAACAATTAAAATATCTCCTTGCTATATTTTACATATTCATAATCATTCCTTTTGCCAGTTCTTTGTGACAGCTTTTAGGTGCTTTATTGGCAGCGCCACCCTTACATGTGGTGTGTGTGTGTGTGTGTGTTGTCCCCGCATTTAAAGATGGGACCCCCAAAAAATTTAATTAAATTAAATAAAGCAACATGGTAAAAAGATGAAAATGACTTGATTTTACTTTCAATTCCTTTTACATTCTCCAAGGTATTAACTTTAACATTTTTCATAACTCCATGTAGGACGTTTCTGTGGATAAATGTAAGCACTGTGGCAGTAGATTAGTAATGCAATATTTAGAAAATCTACTCTTGTACTCTTGATACTCAAGTACTTTTAAAAACAAGTACTTTAGTACTTTTACTTAAGTAGACATCTGAACGTAGTACTTTTACTTGTACTTGAGTAAAATTTAGCAAAGGGTATCTGTACTTTTACTCAAGTAACAAAGCTCTGTACTCTGTCCGCCTCTATGTCTGCTTAATATCTGCTAACACTTTATTTTATTGGTCCCTCAACAGACATTCTACTGACTATAAGTAACTTTGTAGCTACGTAAATGTCAACTTTTAGTAACACGAACACTCTAATGAGAGTTAGTTGACATGTAGTTGCAAATGGACTTGTAGAATGTCTAAAGTGGACCATCCAAATAAAGGGTAAACTTTAAAAATTAAGCATGTTCTTTTTTACTGCACATACAACAACATCATGCACCCACTAAAAATCAGAAAAAGTGTGATAATAATAATACCAATTATTATTATTAAAATAAGGTACAATTTATAAATTAATAAAAAATAAATGTATAAAATATACATTTATTAAAATATATACAAAATAATCTAAGCTTTCTAAATATGACAACTCATGAAATTAATCACAATATTTATTTTATTCTAAAGCCATGTTTTTTCTCTCTTCATATACTCTAAAGGTGGGTAAAAAAATATACAGTAATTTAATGTAAAAAGGTCTTTATATATGAAAATATACCTCCCATTAGGGAAGTTGCAACACACACACATGGCAGCTCATAAATACTTAATTTTCTTGGCGAATTGGTGTCGAATTTGTATGATTTCGTACAATCTGCTTTAAGGGTGAATCTTTACGCTTACTTTTTCATCTTTTTGTATGACTCAAATTGTACAAATTCATACAAAATCACCAGCTCGCATGAGTTGGGGTCTGTTGCATCGAAAAGTTTGAAAACCGCTGATTTATATCATTTTTATGCAATAATTTCTGTACCTGGCTGTTCCTCTTCTGGAGTCCCTTGCTCACACGCCTGGCCTTTGGTGCCTGGTTTACACACACACTTACAGATATCATTGTCAAGCACACGCAGCCCGTTGTTCTGGCATTCTCTGCAGTGGCATGGGTGTTTCTCGATGAGGTAAGTCTCAATTGCACGCTTTAAGTGATGCTTTTTCACCCCTGCACACGAGACCTCTTTCACCAGCTCATGGAGAGGTCTGAGCTGAACAAATCAGAAATTCACACACATAAGAATGAATGTGCTCCTTTGCAAATAGGTCAGTTTATGGCAGGCTAACAAAGGCTCCAAGTTCAATAATGTTCTATGATTAACATAGCATACACACTCTATATTATGATAACAAACTCATTTGCATACAATAACCATATATTAACAATCGTTTCCAAACAAACCTTCGTTTTGATGACTTTTGGAAAGTTCTTTACTGAACCCGACCACTGCGAGAACATCCTGCCATTCTCCAGGGGTGTGTTTTTGTTTAACATTGACAATTGTGCAATATATCCAGGAGCTCCGCCAATAATATTTGTGGTCATATCATTTTTTGGTATGCTTGCATCTGTTTGGGAGACATTATGAAAACAGTATTATTGTACAGTACACTGGGTGTTTACAGAAACTAGTTTGAAAGTATCATTTAGTGCTTTTTTGCTTTTATTTATTTTTCCTAAATGACTTACAGACACGTTCGACATGGTGAGAAGTGTCTTCACTGCACTTTTCTGTAGTCCACCTGATGATAAACAGGATCGAATGGGACGTTTTGACACAATGTTTATAGTCTCTTTGCACAGTTCCTGTGTAAAAAAAGAAAACAACAGACAATCATTAGACAATGCAATGATCTTGAATGACGAATACTCTTCTCAAGTGAAATGAATATGCGACATATCACTTACGCAATTTCTGCATGTCATCTTGGCTGACCGCCATAAATAATCTAAACTGGCCCCCAAGAGTGCCTTCTGAAATATAGTGGGTTCCAAATCTCTCCAGCACTTTGTAGTAGGCAGCATAATCGTATGCGACGGGCAAGGAGCGCAGAGCTTTCCAAAACTCTTCTGAAAGTGGCAGATATTCTGGGGCCTGGTTCTGGAACTGGGCCACGTCCACATCACTCTTCATGATCAGCAGATTTTTGGACTGAAGTGTGAACAAAGTTTCATTTTTATTCAACAAATTCAGAGATTGTTAGGCTTAACCTTAAATGAATGTCTAAAACCCCAGGTTAACTGATAACACTTAATTTATATATATTAGGGCTGTCAAATGATTAATCGTGATTAATCACATCCAAAATAAAAGTTTTTTTTACATAATATATGTGGGTGCATTGTGTATAATTATTTTATATATATAAATACACACACATGCTTGTATATATTTAAGAAATATTTTCATGTATATACTGTATATAGATTTATATATAATTTATATTATATATAAATATAAATATTTTATATATAAATTATATTTTATTCTTAAATATACATGCATGTGTGTGTATTTATATATATACAAAATAATTATACACAGTGCACCCACATATATTATGTAAAAAAAGCTTTTATTTTGGATGTGATTAATCGTGATTAATCATTTGACAGCCCTAATATATATATATATATATATATATATATAATTTGTACAAAATTGATTAAACTGTTTTTAACATTTGCCTAGATTAATAAATGCAAGTATTGTTTAGTTTAAGATACCTGTCTGATAACTAATGTTAATTAATCTGACCTTATTGTTAAGAACTACCAAGCCACAAGGGTTAAGAAAGACTTTTGGGTAACACTTTACTTGAAAGGGTGTGGATAAGACTGACATGACACTTTCATAATCATGACATAACACATGTCATGAATATGAAGGAGGTTTTATGCATGTTTATGACAACTGTCATTAAGTGTCATTCGCTCAATTATGAAATTTTTAATGCAAATATGACATTGTTTGAGATGTCTTTGTTATGACAACTTGACATAAACTTATACATCATAACCTGTCAGTGTCTTGGTAATGACAATTTGACATTACCAAGACAACATAAATTGTCATAAATATGTCATAAACATGACAGCAGATTAATTATCAAACTTAAGAAACCACTTAGCTTTATGGGTTAACATTACATTAAACTGTCAGGTGGTTGGTTTTGACATTGGCTGATGAGGCCATTATTACTGTGTCATGAATATTTTTCTTGACCTCAACTACAGTAGTACAAATTTAATTTGTCATTAAAATGTTATAATGGCCTCATGACAGCCAGTGTCAAAACCAACCACCTGACAGTTTAATGTAATGTTAACCCATAAAGCTAAGTGGTTTCTTAAGTTTGATAATTAATCTGTTTTGTCATGTTTATGACATATTTATGACAATTTATGTTGTGTTAGTAATGTCAAGTTGTCATGACAAAGACACTGGCAGGTTATGATGTATTGGTTTATGTCAAGTTGTCATAACAAAGACATCTCAAACAATGCCATATTTGCATTAAAAATGTCATAATTGAGCAAATGACACTTAATGACAGTTGTCATAAACATGCATAAAACCTCCTTCATATTCATGACATGTGTCATGTCATGATTATGAAGGTGTCATGTCAGTCTTATGCACACCCCTTCAAGTAAAGTGTTACCGACTTTTGTTTTGAAAGGGGTTAACACTGTTTTTAAAGTCACAATGAAACAGAAGTAGTGACAGATCTTTTTTTCCAAATTTTACATACAAATTGTACATAAAAGTGTATCGGATTATCAAAAAAGAAACATGTTGAGCCAGGCCTTGGTTCTATGCATTGGTTGTTGATTGGATTTTGAGATGTGGGCGTTGCACTCAAGTGGAGGCAGATGAACGTGAGCTGGTAAGGAAGAGGTTTAAGCAGACTGAGGATGCATCTGAAATCGCATACTTATTAGTAGGCGAAAAACAATATGTGACAAAAGAAGTACAGTATGTCTGAATTCACAGTACTCATAAAAGATTACTCCGGTGAGATTCTGAAGTGTGCATACGATGGACCCTTTACTATCCCATGAGGCCATGGGAGAGGATTTATGAATGGCAGTGAAGCGACGTAACTGACGCTGGTAGGTCACATGATAATGATAATGTAGTACGTCCAGATTACATTCATACTACACACATTCATAACATACTTTTTTTCATGGTCGTGAAGTAATTACCTATTCAAAATAACTACCTACTCAAGAGAGTATGCAATCGGACGCAGCCTAAATGATTGGAGAAGTTCTGCATATCTCACCAAAGAGAATTCTGTCATTTCAATACAAGATTGAGTTATGATATTTTGATTAATCATTCAAAAACATTTTTAAAAAATGGAACATATAAACAGATAAATTGTTCACAATAAGATCTGAAACATGCATTTAGAAAACAGACTTTCCTTTTATGCTGACTTTAACCTTATCATAACTGATCATAACTTGATTATAACTTTTGCTGTGGAAAAGACATGTGAAGTGACATGGTGTTAGAATGTCACATGGATTTGTTTAGCAACAAGCAACCAATCCTAAACTGCCTCAGCGCTTACCTGTATTATTCATGAACTTCATACAGTCAAAGAAACGTTCACAGACGGTTTAGTTTGTAGCGTCTAATGGGAAAATGTAAAAAAATCTTGAACAGCGACGCAAGCACGTTAACTGGACTGATGAGACAACATTATGAGACAACATGTTTACTGGTGTGAGGGCGGGATAACCTGTCACTCACATGTAGTAAACCACAACAATCCAATCCAATACCTGATGAGCAAAACCAAGTCCCGCCCAACATTTTTTCTTGTTCAAGAAGCCGTTTCACTTGGATAAACGTGACAATAGGGAAGAAAACACTATTTCATAGTGACTTCTGTTTCATACTGACTTTAACATGTCACATGCTCATTGCTGTACTTCGGGCAAGGGTTATTTACTAAGGATAAAGTGCGAAATATGGAACACACCCAAATATTACGTTTACCCAGGGTTATATAGTGAATATGTTGTAGCATACAGTACCTGTGACTGAAACAGCTCATCATGAAAGACATAATCCTCATGCCCATAATCTGTGCCTGTTGTTTTTGCATGTTTTTCTCTGTGATCGAGGTAGTGCCAAGAACTGCTATAGGATTCATCTGTAAAATCACTTTTTGCTGTGACCTGGCAAAAACAAATGTAGAAACTGTGACAAAAGATTTGTCCTTTTTTTTGTTAGAGATCCCTAGATTTTTTTTTCTTGCATTGGTAACATTATGTTCTTCTTTTTGTATCTAATCAGTCATTTTTATGTTAGTATAGTAAATTGTGACATTTCTATTGCCTGGAAAGTGTATCTGAGGACACTTTGGGGAAGTCTATATAGGTCCATATGGTCTCCACTGAAGGTCTTTCTACACAGTCCTCCAAAGCTCTTAGTGTTGATAACTGTTCCTCTTGCCTCTCTCCTCACTGCATCAAACCTATAGTGCAAACACACACAATCATAGTGGCATTAGAGATTGGGGTGTGTGTCTGTGTTTATGTAAATGCATTGTTGTATTGGATATGGAATCAAGCAGATGACAAATATCATTACATTACCCTTGACCAGTGAGCTCTACGTTTGGTGGAGGTTTTTGCAGGTCACAGATCTCTTTACTGTCACATTTATGCTCATCTGAGCCATATTCACAGTCATGATCTCCATTGCATACCAGAGACTGGCTGATACATTTCCCTTAAGCGAAATAAGTAAAAAGAGATGTCTCAAATAACTTTGTAAAGACTTTTAAACAGGAAAAAGTGGAAATGTATCAAAATAATTACCGGACTGGCATCTGAACCGTTCTCCACAGCCCTCCTCTAGGGGACAGACCTTAGTCGATATACAGGATTGTGTGCGAGTTGAGCTCCCAGTGCAAGGCCGACCACCAAACTGAGAGTAGACTGCAATGGAGCGGATCTGTGTCTGTAATGTCCCCAGAAAGTGCCTCAGACATGTCAGTATAATAATAATAATAATATATCGAGGGAGAGAGTTCCATAGGTAAGGGGCCATATGGCTAAAAGTTCTAGCTCCCATGGTAGTTAAGCGTATATGTGGTGACACAAGAGAAAGTGAGAGTGAAGATCTTGAGAGCGTGTGAAGGGGTATAAATATAAAGACCAGAAAGGTAATGAGGAGCGAGATTATGAAGTACCTTGAATGTGAGAAGCAGAATTTTGAATTCAATGCTATACTTCACTGCAAGCCAGTGTAGTCGCTGCAGAATTCACGAGTTCACACTTACAAATAAGTCAGATAGAATAAATGGTATGTGTATTTGGCGTACTGTCCGAGGAGAGGGTTCAAAGCTCGGTATTTGGCCCGAACCCAGAGTACTCCCCCCATATTCCTGGCTGTGGTAGGAACAAGCTAAGAGTGAGGAGTCTGGGTGGTGGAGGGATGCTAAAAAACTGGTCAGAGTATTGTGCCTACAAAGTTTTATCACTATTGAGTTTTAAAAGGTTAGCTGAAAGCCAATCCTTAATTCCAACTAAACAGCTGGAGAAAGAAGGTGGAGGAAAAGATCCACAGGTTTTGAAGACAGTTAGAGCTGGGTGTCATCAGCGTAGCAGTGAAAATGGAGACCATATTTCCTGAAAATATGGCTGAGAGGGAGTAAATAGATAAAATAGAAAATAGTGAGACCAGAGAGATATGATATAAACCAAGACAGGGTTTATACAGATACTGCAACTGCATTTCAGCAAATGTATTCAGTGCACAAGACTGCATGCAGTTATTTAGTGTAAGATAACTGTACACTGTTACAATGACACATGTTAAAAAGGTCAAAAACATAAAACTCATCCCACCTGTGTTTTGGAGCAGCCATCGCAGGCTGACCAGCTTCCAGGGGACCAGGGTCCCCACTGGCAGTGCACAGGTTCAGACACAGACCTAATGGACCTCACTGACACTGCACTGATTTAGGAGCAAGCTCAATGTAAGTATGTCTTCAGAAACATCAAATATGGTATACCATGTACAGTGGCCACAAAAGTATTTGGATAATTTAACATTACATAACAAAATATCAAACCAAGTGGCATCTGCAAACAAATGACGCTGATGTATTTCTCAGGACTGACTTTTTAGCTGTAATACAATGACTTTTAAACTGGTCTCAAGTCAGTTTTCTTCAAAATCACAAGGGTGTATTACAGTAAACACATATGTAGTTCATTACGTTTACTATGTATGTCACAGCACATTCATAGTAAAATTCTAATTCACAAATTCATTTATAATAAAAAAATATATAGTTTTATCATGTAACAATTTTTAAACCGTGTGCTTGTAAAACTTTCTTTCAATTAAATCTTCAGTTTGACATTTTGTTATGTTGTTATATAATGCAATGAGATTTTTAAGTGTGTCTTCAGTGTCCAAAAACTTTTTGGGGCCTCTGTTTATGTACACTGTATGTGGCATACTAACATTAAATCTGTAATGCATTTACTTTTAAAAGAAAATTAAATATATTGAATAGACAAAATAAATATATACAAATGAATAAATAACAAATGGATAAACAATTTGCATGTATGCATGTTAGACACTTTTAATTCCAGCGATTTAGATATTTGTTGTAAGGGCAAACATGTTTTCAGTTACTTACTGTGCTGAAGACAACAGAGAGACAAGGAAGACCCCATGCAGGAACACACACTGAGAACAAAGTTAACTGAAGTTTTCCTCCTAATCATTTTGTGTCATACAGTTCAATAAAAATAAAAAATGCATTTGATAAGCCTGACAATTAAAGCTCATAATTTGAATCAGTATAAACTTAAAGCACCAAGTTTTAAAAATATGTTTTTAGTGGTCCACTAAAATGATGCAGGAATGTACCTGTTGAAAAATCAAGAGTGCTTACCTTCATTGTAATAATCTAAAGCAGCATGCGCATTTCTCTCCAAACTGTTTGTCTTTTCTGTGTGCAAGCAGCTTTTTAAGAAATAGTCCCAGTCCGTGTCTTATCTTGCTAAAACAAGCCATGAGCGGGAAATGGTCATTTCTCTGCCAATGAATGCTTGTAACAACACAATCCTCATTTCACTGGAATGTGAGCGAGCCCTAGGAGATAGAAAGAGCATATAAATCTCTCTAATGACTAGAGGATTTATGGCTTATGCTAGGAATTAAACGGTCAGTTATGGATGTCCATTTGAGTACATAGACAGATTAAATCATGTTCGCTCAGGTGGTTGTCACGCTTCTAATGAGAATCAAACATCTGCATTGGATTCTCTATGTCAAGGTATACACAATAAACACTTGATGGAGACAAAGCGCCATTTTACGCCCAATCCTGCTTCAAATGTGGAGTATTTAATACATACAGGAGCCTCTGTTGGATATTCAGATGTCTTAGCTACTGGAAAGGTCACTGTTTTTAAAAGTCAAATCTCCTGATGTATCTCCTATAAGAAAATGACAGTGCTTTCCCAGCACAGATGACTTTGTGAATAATAATGCCTTATATTGTCTCTGGGTCAGGAGTTAATCGGTATGCTTTTCCGTTTCTTAGACCTCAGGATCCACAGTTCCTCTGAGGATCTCATTTGCATAATTAAAAGGTAATTGAGTTTCTCAGTGAGCCCGTCATCAGCAAGCTGTTATTAGCAACATGTTCGGCGGGCAGGTAATGCATCATAAATTCATGTCAGATTCGTCCGGTCACGGAGTCCTTGTCACTGTTCACACACAGAAATATATGCAGTACATCCAACACTCATTACTGTCGTTCGGTGACATCTAAACTTAGAGACTAATGCATTTTTCTAATTTAATTTCCTTTAGATCGAAAGTTTAATAGAAAATTGTAACATTAAATATAACATGAATCAGAATGTCTTAGTACTTTAGTAGTGTCCCTCTTTTGCTTTAATGATGGCAACAAACCTGTAAAACCTGATGATCATGCTCTTTAGCATTTGAGACGATGCAAAGAGCATTTTGAGCTTGAATGGAAGAACATCTGATCTGACCGTCTGTACAAAGAGTCATATTACTGTGGTGGCCTTGAAGTATTCATATTCATGTCATAAAGTTTCTTTTTCTTATTTTTTAAGATTTCAGTAAAATGTTGGATCCCATTTTAAATGGGGTCTAAGACTTTTGGACCCCAATATTTTGAGTTGTACGGCATGTGTGGAAACACTACATGTAGAATATTCAAAGGTTTTAGGTCAGATTTGTTTGTTTTTTAAAGAAAATATTTTTATTCATCAAGTATTCAGCAATTAATTGATTGAAAGTGAGAGTAAAATCATTAATAATGTTACAAAAGATTTATATTTGAAATAAATGCTGTTCTTTTAAACTTTTTACACATCAAGACTGAAGACTGAAGTAATGATGCTGAAAATTCAGTTTTGCATCACAGGAATAAATTGTATTCATGGAATAAAAATATATTCAAATAGAAAACAGTTATCTAAATTGAAAAAATATGTCACAATATTACAGTTTCTACTGTATTTTGAGCAAATAAATGCAGCCTTGGTGAGCAGAAGAGACTAAAACATTTAAAAAAAACTTACGAACCCCAAGCTTTTGAATGGTAGTGTATAAATACTTTAAAATACATTTAGGATATCATTCAATGCATGTACAGTATACAACATTATGGCTCATTTGAAGAAAAAGTTAAAAATAAAGCTTGGGTTTTATTTTAGAAACAAGTTTTGTTTTTCATTTAATGTAAGAAAGAGGTTAGTTTCTGCTACTTTTTTGCCTGCACTTGATTATGGTAATGTGGTGTATCAATTTGCTTCTTCTCATCTTCTGTCCTCTTTGGATGCCGTTTATCATAGCACTTTGAGATTTATATCAGATTGTAAACCTTTAACTCATCGTTGTACAGTATATTGTATAACCGAGTAGCCTGGCCCCCTCTGTCCATTAGAAGGAAAATGCACTATTACCTATTTATTTATAAAACTATTCTGGGGTTGTTGCCTTCGTATCTAGGTTGTCTAATTCAAAAGAAAAGTGTTGGGAAATATTCCCTCCGGTCTGAAAATTGTTTTACTCTTTCTGTTCCATTTGTAAGAACTGAACTGGGAAAAAAGGGTTTTTTGCAGCTCCATTTGAATGGAATCTACTCCAAACAAAACTGAAATTACAAACTCTGGTGCCTATGGAACATTTTAAATCTATCATTCGGTTGTTTTGATTTGTAAGTTTGTGATTGTAACTGCTGTCCATTCTTGGCCAGGACACTCCTGTGAAAGAGATGTTTAATCTCAGAGAGATTATCCTGGTTAAATAAAGGTAAAAAAAAAATATATATATATATATATATATATATATATATATATATATATTAATAAGTTGTGAATTAGCAAGTATGTTTATGGGTGTCTTTTAACCCTTTCACACGTAAGTTTAAAATATTCTAACTGACCCCCCAGCGTGAGTTTTTCAAGGCGACCGTTATTTAGAACCTGTCACTTTAATGTTTCCATGGTGACGCGTCATTTCTTGTCACGTGACACAGCGCAATCACAACACAGAGCTGAATGAGTGATGATCTGCTTTTATGTCTTTTTTCCTTTTCTATTCAAAATATTCACAAATGTATTAGCTACAGCATGAAACACTGATATTCCGATTGTCAAATATGTGCAAGTGGATGTGTTTTGTTGTTTAAACATATTTATAACGATCGCGTTAGTTGAGCTGTATGCACGATGGGCGGCGCCATGTTAGTTTGTTTCACAGTTCAGAGAATCGGACCTGTTGTTTCTCACGAAATACATGAAAGTAAGTGGCCGGTGAACTAGGAGAAGAATAGGGTAAAATGTAAAGCTACTTACACAATGTGTATCTGATATGAATAAAACGTTTTGTCTTATTATAATGGAAATGATTATTGTTGCCGTTTCCATAGACATCAGTGTCTATTTTACTAATTCAAAATCACTGTTTTGCTAGTACTTATGTGTATTTAAATGTCTGAAACCTAAAATAAACATTATGTGGTTTAAAATACTCAATAGTTGTGATATATGACAGCACTGAGTGCGTCTGTCTCTGGCTCAGCGCCAGCCAACGCACGAAAGCACGTTTGAATTTAGCAGTTGATCACG